TAGTTTTTAATGTAGTGTTCCATGATTCATTGTTTGCGCATAACACCCAGTGTTCCGTGCAGAATGTGCCCTCCTTAATACCCACCATCAGGCCAACCCATCCCCCCACCCCCTCCCCTCTAGAACCCTAAGTTTGTTTTTCAGAGTCCATAGTCTCTCATGGGTCGTCTCCCCCTCCGATTCCCCCGCTTCATTTCCCCTCCTGCTATCATCTTCTATTTTTTTTTAACATATAATGTATTATTGCTTTCAGAGGTACAGGTCTGTGATTCAACAGTCTTACACAATTCACAGCTCTCACCATAGTACATACCCTCCCTCCCTGCCTATCACCCAGCCACCCCATCCCTCCCACCCCCCACCACTCCAGCAACCCTCAGTTTGTTTTCTGAGATTAAGAATTCCTCATATCAGTGAGATCATATGATACATGTCTTTTTCTGATGGACTTATTTCGCTCAGCATAATACCCTCCAGTTCCATCCATATGGTTGCAAATGGCAAGATTTCATTCCTTTTGACAGCTGCATAATATTCCAGTGTGTGTGTGTGTGTGTGTGTGTGTGTGTGTGTGTGTGTGTGTGTACCACGTCTTCTTTATCCATTCATCTGTTGATGGACATCTTGGCTCTTTACACAATTTGGCTATTGTGGACATTGCTGCTATAAACATTGGGGTGCATGTACCCCTTCAGATCACTACATTTGTATCTTTGGGGTGAATACCCAGGAGTGCAATTGCTGGATCATAGGGTAGCTCTATTTTCAACTTTTTGAGGAACCTCCATACTGTTTTCCAGAGTGGCTGCACCAGCTTGCATTCCCACCAACAGTGTAGGAGGGTTCCACTTTCTCCGCATCTCTGCCAACATCTGTCGTTTCCTGACTTGTTAATTTTAGCCATTCTGACTGGTGTGAGGTGATATCTCACTGAGGTTTTGATCTGGATTTCCCTGATGCCAAGTGATGCTGAGCACTTTTTCATGTGTCTGTTGGCCATTTGGATGTCTTCTTTGGAAAAATGTCTGTTCATGTCTTCTGCCCATTTCTTGATTGGATCATTTGTTCTTTGGGTGTTGAGTTTAACAAGTTCTTTATAAATTTTGGATGCTAGCCTTTTATCTGATATGTCATTTGCAGATATCTTCTCCCATTCTTTAGGTTGTCTTTCGGTTTTGTGGACTGTTTCTTTTGCTGTGCAAAAGCTTTTTATCTTGATGAAGTCCCAATAGTTCATTTTTGCCCTTGCTTCCCTTGCCTCTGGTAATGTTTCTAGGAAGAAGTTGCTGCGGCTTAGGTCGAAGAGGTTGCTGCCTGTGTTCTCCTTTAGGATTTTGATGGCCTCCTGTCTCGCATTTAGGTCTTTCAACCATTTTGAGTCTATTTTTGTGTGCAGTATAAGGATATTGTCCAAATTTCATTCTTCTGCATGTGGCTGTTCAATTTTCCCAACACCATTTGTTGAAGAGACTGTCTTTTTTCCATTGGATATTCTTTCCTGCTTTGTCAAAGATTAGTTGACCATAGAGTTGAGGGTCCATTTCTGGGCTCTCTATTCTCTTCCATTGATCTATGTGTCTTTGTGTGTGTTGTAAGGAAATGGTCCAGTTTCATTCTTCTGCATGTGGCTGTCCAATTTTCTCAACACCATTTGTTGAAGAGACTATCTTTTTTCCATTGGACATTCTTTCCTGCTTTGTCGAAGATTAGTTGACCATAGAGTTGAGGGTCCATTTCTGGGCTCTCTGTTCTGTTCCATTGATCTATGTGTCTGTTTTTGTGCCAGTACCATACTGTCTTGATGATGACAGCTTTGTAATAGAGCTTGAAGTCCAGAGTTGTGATGCCACCAGCTTTGCTTTTCTTTTTCAACATTCCTCTGGCTATTCAGGGTCTTTTCTGGTTCCATACAAATTTTAGGATTATTTGTTCCATTTCTTTGAAGAAAGTGGATGGTATTTTGATAGGGGTTGCATTAAATGTGTAGATTGCTCTAGGTAGCATTGGACATCTTCACAATATTTGTTCTTCCAATCCATGAGCATGGAACGTTTTTCCATTTCTTTGTGTCTTCCTCAGTTTCTTTCATGAGTATTTTATAGTTTTCTGAGTACAGATTCTTTGCCTCTTTGGTTAGATTTATTCCTAGATATATCATGGTTTTGGGTGCGATTGTAAATGGGATCGACTCCTTAATTTCTCTTCCTTCTGTCTTGGTGGTGGTATATAGGAATGCCACTGATTTCTGTGCATTGATTTTATATCCTGCCACTTTACTGAATTCCCGTATGAGTTCTAGCAGTTTTGGGGTGGAGTCTTTTGGGTTTTCCACATAAAGTATCATACCATCTGCAAAGTGTGAGAGTTTGATTCTTCTTTGCCAATTCGGATGCCTTTTATTTCTTTTTGTTGTCTGATTGCTGTGGCTAGGACTTCTAATACTATGTTGAATAGCAGTGGTGATAGTGGACATCCCTGCCGTGTTCCTGACCTTAGGGGGAAAGCTCTCAGTTTTTCCCCATTGAGAATGATATTCGCTGTGGGTTTTTCATAGATCGCTTTTATGATATTGAGATAGGTACCGTCTATCCCTATACTCTGAAGAGTTTTGATCAAGAAAGGATGCTGTACTTTGTCAAATGCTTTTTCTGCATCTGTTGAGAGGATCATATGGTTCTTGTACTTTCTTTTATTAATGTATTTTATCACATTGATTGATTTGCGGATGTTGAACCAACCTTGAGCCCAGGGATAAATCCCACTTGGTCGTCGTGAATAATCCTTTTAATGTACTGTTGGATCCTATTGGCTAGTATTTTGGTGAGAATTTTTGCGGTATTGTTACTGCTTTTAATGTGAGTTTTAGTCTGTATTCCTGAGAGTGGCAGCATTCTTTCCCCTTCCCATGTCCATCACCCAGCCTTAGAAAGATGTTATTTGTTGCTGAATTCTTGGAAGAGGTTAAAGAAAATTCCATTATCCTTTTTCTCGGTTATGCTTTTTCGTTTTTAGCTGATAAAAGAATAAAGCATACACATTTATCAAGTGACATAATGTATGAGAAAAAGCTCTTGATAAACTTTATAATACGTTTATTGGGATCTCAGAAATTACTAAAAATCTGGTTCATTTTGGGCATTTTTGCAACTCAGTGTAATTAGATTGAGTTTCATAATAAAAGCTGCAGAATCCTGAGGTGCTTTAGATTTATCAAAGATTAAACAGTATGCAGCTTTGTCTTCCTATTATTGTGCTTCATTATAACCCATATCTTTGGAAGTTTTTAGTTCATGTATGTATATTTGTATGGTAGTCTGGGTTCCCCAGGAAGCAGAGTCTGAGATTTTTGTGCCAGGCGTTGACTGAGAGTGCTGTCATGATCAACACTTGAGGACAGGCCTGGGTAGGATGGGACTGTGTTGTGGTCATAAGGCTTCAGCCAGCCCTACAGAGAGCTCTGAGATGTGCTTGGTCTTTCAGAGTTACCTCAACTTGGGGTGAGGGAGCCTGGCCTTTATACCCTTTATTAGTTAGCTGTTGTTGCATAATAGATTACCCCCAAATGTAGCTTAAAACAACAAACATTTATCATCTTATCATCTCTCTGGGTCAGGAATCTGGGGGCAGCTTAGATGGCCACTTTTACCTCAGGGTTTCTCCCAAGGCTACAGTAAAGGTTGGCTAGGTCAGTTGTCACTTCATGGTTTCACTGGGGGAATTTACTTCCCATACCTCTTACATGGTTGCTGGCAAGCTTTAGAATGTCTACTTCCAAGTTCACTCATGTGGCTGTTAGCCAGAGACATCAGTTTCTTTCCATGCGGGCTTCCTCATAGGGCAGGCCACAATATGGCAACTGGCTTCCTTCAGAGCAAGTAAGCAAAATGAAAGTGCCCAGGACAGAAGCCACAGTATTTTGTAATCTAATCTCAGAAGTGACCACACATCATTTTTGCCATATTTTATTTGTTAGAAGCAAGTCACTGTGTCCTGCCCACACTCAGGGCCAGAGAATGACACAAGGGCATCAACATCAGTAGGCAGGGATCTTTGTTGGCCATCTTAGAAGCTGCCTACCAACTCCTATAGCATCCGGTCACGGTGCAGGCTGCCCAAGACAGGACATGACCTCAGATGAAGCAGTTCTCTTCTTAAGCTGAGGTGACTCCTGAAGAGGGGATACAGCTGAGGATTGTGGATAGACAGCCTTCCTGACAGCTAAGGCAATAAACCCTTTAGGCCTAAATGGGAGCTAGGTGGAACTGAACAGCATCCACTTGAATATATATAACCCTTAGTTAACCCAGTATATTTAATAAACCAGAATTTCTCAATCTTGTTATTTAAACTGTGCAACATGTTATATTTCCTTAAGCATTTTTTGCTGTTGTTTTGGTTTTAGCATTCTTAGAAACACCTTTTATGTGTGTTACTTTACAGAGTATATTACATACAAGACTGTTCAGTGAGTACATTCACTGAAATAACACTTTTTTAGTCTGATTTTACAGGAAAAATTATATTGTACTGTGTATCAGAATCATTCCCTTTCTGATAATAGCAGTTCAGTTGAAATTTTTTAGCAAGCAGCATAAAACAAATCTTTACCTTGCACCGAGTCATTTTTAAAAACTTGTAGCTAGGGGCGTGTGACTCTTGATCTCAGGATTGTAAGTTTGAACCCCACGCTGGGTGTAGAGATTACTTAAAAACAAAATCTTAAAAAAAAAAAAAAAACCCTTTTAGGTGAGCTACAAGATCCTAAATGCAAGAGAATTTTCAAAACAGTATTTTCCCTTTTCCTAGATAATGTACAATTGATAAATGGAACTAAGAGGTGATTAGGAACAACATGTTTCTTTTTCAGATTGTAAATTTTAATTGCGTGAAGTTGTAAGAATTTATGTCTTATTTAATCTTCTACTTTGAACTTTCAGGCATGATTTCCTTTATCTCCTCTTTTTTATTTATTTATTTTTTAATTTTTTTTAATTTTATAGGTGAAGAACAAGAACCTGATTTTGTCACTTTTCTTTATCAAATAACCAGAGGAATTGCAGCAAGGAGTTATGGACTAAATGTGGCTAAACTAGCAGATGTTCCTGGAGAAATTTTAAAGAAAGCAGCTAGCAAGTCAAAAGAGTTAGAAGGATTAGTAAATACGAAGAGGTCAGAACGATTGTGTTGCATTTTTTGGTTGATAATGAAACCTTACAAGTTGTCCAAGGAAGAGGAGTATCCTGTAAATGAACGTCAGATTTACCTTTAAGCATTTCTTCAAATATTCTGAAACATGTAATTAAAATGAAAACAGATCTTTGAAAAGCTCATGTGAATTCAGTCCGCCTTCTCTACTCAGATCTTTATCTGTTAAGTTGCTAAATTGGTTTTTCAGTCATTTTTCTAAAGAACTAAGTTAACTCCTTACTGTGTGCCAACACATTATTTGCTTAAAGCATTCAGTTATATAACAAATTACTAAAAGAAACCATGACATTTAAAACCTTTAGAGTACTTCCTTTATTCATATATGCATTCAGAAAATAAGAATTCTGTCAGGACATGAATGAAAATAATAGTATTATATAACTATGTAATTGTGGTCAGTATCCCCCTGTCACTTCTTTTGCGGATTGTTTGTGACAAATGTTTCATTCTAAACTACCTGCGGGGCACCTGGGTAGATCAGTTGGTTGGGCATCCGATTCTTGATCTCAGCTCAGGGTCATGAATTCAAGCCCCATGTTGGGCTCCACACTGGGCATGGAGTCTACTTTAAAAAAAAAAAAAATAACAGCTTTATTGGGGTACCTGTGTGGCACAGTAAGTTAAACGTCCCACTCTTGGTGTCAGCTCAGATCATGATCTCAGGGTTGTAAGATTGAGCCCCCTCCCTGTTGGGCTCCACACTCAGTGAAGAGTCTACTTAAAGACTCTTTCTTCCTCTCCCTCTGCCCCTCCCCCCCCACTCTCTCTTGCTCTTTGTCTCAGAGATGAATAAATAAATCTTTAAACTGCCTTCTCTCTGTCACTTAGAATGCTTACATGAATGCATTCTATCTTTTACCCTTGATATCAAGCCAGTATGTAGTCAGTATATTAACTAATATTAATATATATCTGAGGTATACTTTGGAAGAAAGATATTCCTAGAAAAATACCATATTAAAAAATAATAAATTACAGCCTCTTTTCCCCCAAATACAAGATTATATGATAAAAGGACATAAGCTCCTCATCCATCTCTTGCCCCACTCCTGCACTACCTGGAAAGTCTGATATGCCTGGGGCAAGACATTACCACCTTGGTTGATAACCATGTGACCATGAGGGAACAGATTGTTAGTCAAATAGAAAATCTTGGCTGGGGGCACTTGGGTGGCTCAGTCGTTAAACGTCTGCCTTCGGCTCAGGAAAATCTTGGCTGGCCAGCATACTACAAGAAAAATTTTAGTCCTGGAAATCATTACCAAATTTAAATACTGAAATAGCAATACCTAATATTAGTTAAACAATTACCAACTTGTATACTGAAGTACAGTTGTGTAACCAACTTCATTTCTTCTCTCTTGTGGTTCTGCCTTGCCACAATACTTTGCAGTGGTAAATGGTGGTTGACCAGGTCCAAAGTGCTGGAATACAATAAATGGCATGACAGGTAGTGTCCTCTATTGGCATTCTCTTTTGGATCATTTCTACAATGCCAAATTAAAAAAGTAATTATTTATTATGAGAGTCCAAAGATAAGCCCTTAGTTCTCTGCAAAGTCCAAAGACAAACTTAAATCCTCTTTTGTTATCTTATTATTTTTCTTCTTCCCTAGAGAAACTAGAATAAAACTTAATTACAAAGGGATATATATATATGTGAGATGGCAATAAAATATGGTAGTTTATAATTATTGCTGCTATATAGCTTATATAATAGCAAGAGCAATAAAATTCACAGGTTATAATATTTTAACTCTTCCAACTACTGTGTGACATTTTGAAATCTGTAATCTTGACAAGACAGAATTGTCAAAAGAGGTTGCATTGGGTAGAATCTGATCATTTATTAGGACACTATATTCATTATTTTTACCTTTTTACTGAAAGTGCTATCACATCAGTTCCATTGGTGAGATCAAAGAAACCAAAGGGAACCCTGTACATTTATGGGTTTGTGGTAACAGCTAGTATTTCTTGAATGCCTGCTGTGCACAGAAACAAGTCTGTGCAGTCATTTGCAGCAACCTAGATAGGTGCCCAGTTACTATTCTCACTGCTTTACGTGTATTAACTCAATCTGTATGACAGCCTTGTGAGATATAGGGACTGGTGTTCTGCCCATATCGTAATTGGGGAAAATGAGGCCAAGCGAGGGCTGGAAATCGACCAGGAAGTCAGGGTCCCATAACTAGTCAGTGGTGGAACAGTAACTGGAATTCACCCTGGCTCCAGACCCTAAACACTTAACTGGTTGGTCTTCGACGGAAAGAATATGTCTATGTTGTGTTGGCATTCTGCTCTTTCATTAGCTAGCTGTACTATATTAAATCAGCTTTACTTTTCATCCTGTGAGCACACACAGCCTCTGGCCTGAGTTAGACGGGAACAAGTGGGGTTCTCCCCTCCTTGGAGGTAGTAGTGGCAATCAGCAGCCTCAGTCCTTGATTATAACAGCGTCACCCGAAGGCTGACGCTGGTACAATTTCCTAACCACAGAGCCCTGCCTGGTATTCAAATGTTATAGACCTTTTTTTTTTCTTTAAGATTTATTTATTAGAGAAAGAGCGCGCAAGCAGGAGGGGCAGAGGGAGAGAGAATCTCAAGCAGACTCTGCACCTAGCATGGAGCCCAACATGGGACTCGATCTCACAACCCTGAGATCATGACCCAAGTGGAAACCAAGAGTCAGATACTTAACCAACTGCACCACCCAGGCGCCCCTGTCATAGATCTTTTCTAGCTTTCAGCGAAATGTATTGTGCCCCAACAGTTTCATTTATAAAATAAATTGTATTTTATTTTCTCTCCAGGAAAAGGCTAAAGTGTTTTGCAAAGTTATGGATGATAAATGACGCAAAAGACCTACAGAAATGGAAAGACGAGTTTGAAATGGAAGAAATTCCAGGCTTCTCTTCTTGATTAAAATGAAGACTACATTTTTGGACAAAACATGGAGAATTAAAAATACCATCTGTACCAAACATCTCTCCAGTAACAGCCTATCTTTGTGTGATGTGAGCATAAAATCAGAACTATGGTATATTCCATTGGAAACAGGCCTTTTGTGTAGAAAGTCTATTCCACGTTCTTGTCATCCTAACTTATAAAAGTATAAACAGTTTTGAATATTAAGTCTTCTGTTATATAGTTAGAAAACTTCATGAATAGTAAGATTCACATAAAATCTGATCTCCTAAATGAAGCCTAACATAAACTTTTAGAGAATGATAGAAAAATTTAATTCATATTTTTATTTGTTCCAGTTCAGATTAATTTGCAACTGGGTGAGATGTCTAGCAGAAATACACCTTTTCATTTGAACTAATTTTATAATGCCACCAGTTTATTCACTATGAGTGTAAGAATTTTTGATGAGAAATAGAAAAAGATATCAAGCTTTTAGAAAGTAGAGCACGGAAGGAATAAGATCATATGAAATTTGAAAAGTTAAATACTCTCACAGTTTTAAGCAATTTAAAAATTATTGGATGAAATTATTTGTCATTCACTCAGGTAATAAACATTTAATGAATACTTGCTTGTATACTGAAGTACAGTTGTGTAACCAACTTCATTTCTTCTCTCTTGTGGTTCTGCCTTGCCACAATACTTTGCAGTGGTAAATGGTGGTTGACCAGGTCCAAAGTGCTGGAATACAATAAATGGCATGACAGTAAATAATGGCAGTAAATAATGATTTTTTTCGTTGTTGAATTTTGGGTTTTTCAACTATCTTGGCAGTTGCTACTTTTTAGGTTTAATTATGGAACCAAGGTTGCTGCTCCTAGCAAATACACAGAACTGAATTTTGGATCTTTCTGTTAATCAGTGTAGAAAATGTATGATCTCCCCGGTATCGAAGTATGTAGCTTTGTTGATAGTTAACAGCACTCGCTCCCTGCATGTTTAGGTAGACATGTGTTCATCTGTGTCCCTGAGGTTTTAACAGCACTTACAACCTGACTTCTCATAGCCCGTGTGGTTTTGTTTGTAAATCTGTGATCTTGCACAAAGGCTCTCCATCCTATTTCACACCCATTTGTTACTCCTGCTTGTTAAATGTCTTCCCCACATTTGACGGACATATTTCTAATTCCTTTAGTTTATTTCCTCCAGTGGTCCTAAGAGTGACGCCTTGACACAGGAGTCAGTATAACCTCCCCAAGTTGAAGGGTGGTTGGTTGCCGGACTTTTGAATTGCTCACACTGGAGCCCTTTGATTCCTAGCCTTTTTGCAGTTAAGAGTATGATACCACTTGATTGATTTCACAATCCCTTCAGAAGTACTAACACAGTAAAATCCTCAAGAATGTCTCAAAAGAGAGTTTGCTATTGGAATTTACTATCTAAATTTTAGAAAGAACAATACTTTTTAAATGGTGTTTTAATACTCTATATAATAATAAATGTTTTATATTCTTTCTAACAAGGTTTTAGAGGTAGTGCTGTCACCTTATGGCAGGCCAGTAGGAAAAGGAGATGAATTCAGGAATGTCATACCCTTGCCTGAAAGAGCTGCAGGGACCAGCCATCAGTGGTCATGTCCAAGGGGACATTTTGGGCCATCTCTGGCTTGGGCAGGCCAGCGTCAACATTTAAGCAGGTATGGGCTCCAGGAGCAGTGTGTCCAGGCAGTGGCAATACATATTGTCTGGCAAGTGACAATGTGGACTATTACAAGGTAAATCTTTAACACGAGGCAGGATATCAGCCAGCCAGCCAGTGTGCAAGAGGTCAGGCCTGGTTAGGAGGAAATGCATTTCCAAGTGAGGCCCCTTCCTGGCCAGATAGCTGAGACATTGAAGGAAAAGTTGTGACAGAGACCCAGTTAGGAAGATGGCACAAAGGCCATGAAGATTGGAAGGAAAAATGCAATTGATTGGGTACATACTGCAGATAACCAAACCATGGGGTACAATTCTAATGTCTTCCAGATACTAATTTCATTTCCTTTCAATATAGACCCAGAAGTAGAATTGCTGGAGCACATGGTAGTTCTGTTTTTAATATTTCGAGGAACTTCCATATTGTTTTGCATAATGGCTGTACTAATTTATATTCCTAGCAGTAGTGCACAAGATTTTCCACCATTCTCTACATCCTCACCAATGCTTGCTATCGCTTGTCTTTTTGATAATAACTATTCTAGCAGGTGTGAGGTGTTCTCCTATTGTGGTTTTGATTTGCATTTCCCTGGTGATTACAGTCAGCTTTAGAACATTATCATTACTCTAAAAAAGAAACCTGTACTTATTAGCATTCCTCCATTCCTCCCCAAAATACCTAGTTCTAGACAGCCATTATCTGCTTTCTGTCTCTATAGATTTTCCTATTTTGGACATTTCATGTGAATGGAATCATTACAATATATGGTCTTTTGTATCTGGGTTCTTTCATTTAGCATTTTGTTTTCAAGGCTCATTCATGTGGTAGCAGGTAATGGTACTTCATTCTTTTTTATTATTGCAGACTACTCTGCTTTATGTACTTCATTTTATTTATCAGTTCATCATCTGATGCACATTTGGGTTGTTCCCATTTTTTGGCTTTTATGAGTAATTCTGCTGTGAATGTTTTATGTGGCAAGATGCAGGGTTGTTTTTTTAAAGCTCCCCCAAATAATGCTAATGTGCAGTCAGGTTTGTGAACCACTATTCTCAATGATGACAAATGGCTAAACTTCTCAGTGGCTTGACAACTATTTGCTCCATCTTTCCTCTGCTTTATCTGTCACTTAGGAGAAAGTATGGCAAACTAGAGACCACCCCCCACCCCAATACTTATTTGTTGAAAGAGGAAGGAAAACCCAAACCCTTTCAGATTAGAAACTCAAGGAAAAGACTCTTCTTTTCATAATCAAGATACCATTTCACTAGGGAGTCAAGATCCATACAAAAGTATACTACATCTTAAAATTTTAAAAAAATTTTTTATTCTGATAATTTATTCAAGTTTGAATCTGTTGTCATGGTTGGAGTGGTAATGGGGCTGGTGAAAATGCTCCCTGAATGAATTCCAGAGTAAAGGCTAGTTTGAAGTCCAGTGTTGACCTTTACTAAGTTCCAAAATCAATATTAATTACTCCTGGGCTTTGTAATTATAAAAGTGCTATTTGATGCTCTCTACCAAGGATATGGGTAGAGAGAGAAAGAAACTTGAATTAATACCATCTGTGGTTTCTAATTTTATAATTAAGGTCAATTCCTCTTTGGAGTGTTGTATAGTTAGTATGTATGATTACTGTTAGGTTTGTTATGCCCTGAGAAGTATTACCATGAGGGGGATATCCTTTCTGGTTTGGTTGGGACAGTCTCAGTCTATACTTGTTTTCTTGGCATCGTTATTAAAAGTCTCTTTCGGGATGCCTGGGTGGCTCAGTTGGTTAAGCATCTGCTTTTAGCTCAGCTGGGAGCCTGCTTCTCTCTCTGCCTGGTGCTCCCTCTCTCTCTCTCTCTCTCTCTCTGACAAATAAATAAAATCTTAAAAAAAAGAAAAGAAAATACTTACAAAAAAAAAGCCTCGGGGCACCTGGATGGCTCAGTCATTAAGCATCTGCCTTCGGCCCAGGTCATGATCCCAGGGTCCTGGGATCGAGTCACACATTGGGCTCCCTGCTCAGCGGGGAGCCTGCTTCTCCCTCTCCCACTCCCCCTGCTTGTGTTCCCTCTCTTGCTGTCTCTCTCTGTCAAATAAATAAAATCTTTATAAAAAAATAAATAAAAATAAAAATCAGTTATCATATTCTGAATAATCTGAAGGATTCTCTTAAGAGAGAACAGTGGCACATACTCTGCATTCGTGATAAAGCTGATTTCTAGTACTGTGACTAATGGTTGGACACATACTTCATAAATTATGCCTTCTTACCAAATGAAGCCAAATATCTTCAAGGTGAACAAAACGTTTCACAATAGTGAGAAATAGAGGGGCGCCTGGGTGGCTCTGTCGTTAAAGCGGCTGCCTTCGGCTCAGGTCATGCTCCCAGGGTCCTGGGATTGAGCCCCGCATTGGGCTCCCTGCTCAGCGGGAAGCCTGCTTCTCCCTCTCCCACTCTGCCTGCTTGTGTTCCCTCTCTCGCTGTCTCTCTTTCTCTGTCAAATTAAAAAAATAAAAATTAAAAAAAATCTCTTTTACTCACAAATGTCCCGTTTTAAATAAGACATTATATGGTTACCCCAGTTATAGATCCTACTTCATGAGCAAACTTTACCTACTTGATGGATTTTAAATATCACCTAAAAAAATCCATTTTTTTCTTATGCGTTGTATGAACTGATTCTTATAGCAAAGACCCACCAATTGTTTTTTCTGTTTGTAATAAATGCTTTATATTGTGACATTCAGAAAATGACTCCCTGCTAATTGGCATGTTAGAGCTTTGTTCCATAGTCTATTTTAGAAAAAGAGGGGAGAGGGGCAGAGGGAAAGAGAGAGAGAGCAAGCAGACTCCCTGTTCGTAGCCCGAGGCAGGGCTCCATCCCATGACCCTGAGATCAAGAGTTGGACACTTAACCAACTGAGCCACCCAGGCACCCCGCTCATCTACTTTTGAGACTACATTCCTGAAGATTACTTGTCATCTGCCTTGTTTCAATGAAATCATGGTGAAGAATGTGCACCTACATGACTTGGTAAGACACACAGCAGGATTGTCTTCTTGCAGAAATAATTATTGAGCTTGGAAGGAAGAATCTTCTCTCGGGTTGTTTTGCCCTTTGCTCAAATCCTCCCTTCATTGCCTTTGACTATATGTTCCTTTTTTGGGGGGTGGGGGACATTCAGAACAGTTTATTTCTACATCAGAAATAATGCATGCCATTTTACCTCCTTTTTATAAACCTCCTTCCCTGAATCTCCTTCACTGGATTGGGCATGTCCTTCCCTTTATCAGAATCACCTAAGAAGTTTTTGAAATGCATATTTCTAGGCAGCCCTCTCACTGTACTGAATCTGAATCTTTAAGTTGGGATATGGAAATGTCAGTCAGTCAGTGTTAATTTCTGTCCTCATCTCTTCTCCATTTTCTCTCCCCTTTTCCTTTCTCACCTCTCCCACCATGTTAGTAATCTTGTCTCCAAAGCCATTTGCTAAAAATCAGATTCCTTAAATCTTAACCCCTTTACAAGATTCTGTCTGATTCGGTAGGTCTGGCTTGGGGCCCAGGGAACTTTATTATTTGTAAAATAGACTTTATTTTTTCGAACAGTTTTAGGCTCACAGCAAAATTGAGCAGAAAGTACAGAGATCCTCTCTACTGTCTGCCCCATCCCCAAGCACTGCCTCCTGGCATTGTCAACATCCCTCGCCAGAGTGGTATATTTGTTATAATTGATGACCCTACATTGGCACTTCATTTTCATTTACAGGAGATAGTGTGTACATTAGGGTTCATTCTTGGTGTTGTACACTCTGTGGGTTTGGACAAATGAATAATGACATGTATCTACCATTGTAGTATCATACAGAACAGTTTCACTGCCCCAAAAGTCCTCTGTGGTCCTCCTATTTAACCCTTCCTCTCCTCTAACCACAGACAACCACTGATCTTTTTACTCTCTCTATAGTTTTGCCTTTCACAGAATGTTACACAATTGAGATCATACAGCCTTTACAGATTGGCTTCTCTCACTTAGTAATATGTATTTAAGTTTCTTCCATGTTTTTCACAGCTTGACAGC